CTTGTATGCTTGATATTGATGCTTCTGTCTTTGTTATTAGAGCAATCCTTCAACAAGACTATAGTAGGAGCCTTCAACATGTAGCATATGAATCATGCAAGCTCAAAAGGGCAAAGTGTAATTACTTTGGACATGATCAAGAATAATCAGTGATTGTATATGCCACAAAGGTGTGGCAACACTATCTATTGAGAAAGTCAATGGTTATTTGGATTGATTATCAACCCTTCTTACATGATTTGTATCTCAATTATATGAAATTGTGACATTATCATTAAAAAGAATAATTTCAATTTTTTGATATCCAACTTGAGTACAAGCAACGACAACAACATACTATATCAAACAGCTTATCACGAAGACCAAACTTAAAGAAATAAACATGAGACAAGACAAAAGTTGCTATCATTAATAATGTCATTTCACATATAATTTATGAGGCAAAATGGAAAGAAGCTCTATATCGAGATGCTTATTTCAAGTTGATTAGCGATCATCTGAAAGTAGACAATATACAATATTAGGATTACATTCTTAGTGATGGTTTATTCTATTTTAAGAAATAAATTTATATATCCAACAATACTAAACTCTGGATGCTCATACTTTAAGAGAAACATGACATTCTAATATTTGGACATCTAGGATAAGAGAGGACTCTAGAACGGATCTCAAGGATATGATTTTAGACAGATTTGGATTGTGATATTTGAGCCTTTGTACGTTTGTACAAATCATGTCAATCTAATAAAGCATGCAATATAATGTCTCTTAAACTATTGTGATCAATTTTTCTATCTATGGTACGTTAGAAGCACATGATTATAGATCTCATTATGTATTTGTTCCAAATGCCTCATAATCATATCCTAGTATCATACTGTAAATGCTTACAGTATCTAAAAATTAGTTAAAATATATTATATGTTAATAAATCTAGATGTGTGTTAGAGTGACTAGTAGATTAAATTAAAAAGAGTTGATATAAGAAACTTTACTTTGTTTTTTTACTTATTTTGATTTTAACATTAAAAAAAAATATAGGACCTAAATGTTTAGTATGAAGCCTTGGAAGAAGGTGGAAGCCGAAGGATGAAAATCTAAACTAATAGGAGGCTAATTAGAAGGGATGAAAGTAAGGCATGGTCGGATGAAGGCAAGGAATGGAGAACTTCATCCCTATTGGTCGAATACTATGCCCAATGGGCTTCGAAGAGGCTGCCCACGACCTTAATAAAGATTTCGGTAACTTCAAAGAGAAAATTTGGAGATTAAAAGTAAGAGTTGTAAAGTTTAGGATTTGAAGTACAATTTGTGTATAAAAATTAGAGGATTTGGAATTAAGGTAAAAAAGTTATAGCCGTTTGAAGTTAAGGTATTAATTTAAGATATATTATTACTCTTTTGAAGATACGAGGAGTTGTACAATAGCTTTTGACGATCAAAAGGTGCGAATGGAACGGTAATTTTAAGGCCTACATCTTTTATAAAAAAATTTATTACTTTTGGAGTTCATGTGAAAGAATTATAAGGAGATAAAGGTAGCACTTCCAAATCAAAGGTAGTAAGTGAGTGGTTTTATTTATAGTAATGGTTGGAACCATAACTTAAATTTTTAGACGATTTTTTAGCTCAAACTTTTTTGGAGAATGTAAAATTTTGTGTTAAGAAGCTATAAATATAAATTTCGTGGCATTTGAACTTATATTTTGTGAGATATGAAGAAAATTGCACGCAGATGTATAAAGACAAGGGTTTGAAGTGGCTATTAGGGTTTTCAAGATATCTCAAGTTCTGCAATGAATTTACAGTTGAAATTTATTATAGAAGTTAATAAGAATACATCAGTATCTCATGTAAAATTTGAGTTTGTTTGGACAGTTAGATTAGGAGATATGAGTTGTTGAAGTTCGAGAAAATTTCCACATAAGGATATACAAGGTTTTAAAGGATTTATCATATTTTGGATGTTGTTGGTTACTTGAAGCTTGTGTATTTGGTGTAATTGCTCAAAAGAGAAAATTTATATATAAAATTAGGGCTTCTCTTATTTTGAAGCTTGATTAAATGATTAGTGACAGCCAAAAGCCTAGCATTTTTTTGAGGCAAATTCTCTCTACCCCGACACCAGTTGCCATCTTTGTGGATTGACTTTCAAAGCAACTTCTATTGGCTTTAGTGCGCTTGGATATTGATGTTGTAACACTTCTACAAATCTTCTTTGATACCATCTTGTATCACCATGGATTACCTCATGTCATTATTTTAGATCAAGATCTATACTTCACATGAAGTTTTTGGAAAGCCTTATTCAAGCTACTAGGCAGACAACTTTCCATATCTATAGCCTTCGATCTTCAAACAGATGGGCAAATAAAGTGTACAAATCAGACCTTAGAAGATATGATGCAGGCGTTTGTGGTGGTTCATCATAATAATTGAGATGAATACTTGACGTCCTTTGAATTTCCTTATAATGATAGTATTCAAGCAAGTATCAGTCATTTATCATTTTTTCTTAATATTGATTAACATACAATTACTCTAATAATTCTCCATCCTTCAATTAACTTTAACAACTTGATAATAGATGAAATTATACAATAGCTTACAATGGCCTTACAAGAGGTACGGTACCAACTCTTTACTGCACAAAATTGATAGAAGTAGTATGCACATAATCATCAGCAACACAAGACCTTCTAAGAGAGTGATGAAGTGTTACTTTCCAATGCCAACTTGCCACTTGCTACATCAATCCAAATCCATAAACTAACACCTTAGTGGCTTTGATCTTTCCATATTTCTGCAAAGATTTCTTATGTCGCATACTACTTTGAACTTTTGCTACATATTTGGATCCATCTAGTCTTCCATATTTTATAACTAAAGGAATTTCATACTAAGCCAAAGCACTTTCTGGATCGGCACCAATCATCACTACCACCAATTGTAGTTGATAACCAACAAGAATATGAAGTGGACAGCATTTTGGAGCATCGCTATCTTTATTATAGCAGTAGACATCTACAACTTTAGTACAAAGTTCTTTGGAAAGATTATCCCATTCAGAATGTAACGTAAGAACCTACACAGAACCTCATCTATTGCCAAGAGATAATTTGGAGATACCATCGAGAGAAAAATAAGGATGTTACACATTAGTGGATGGGAATTAATTATAATAAGGTATAGATAAGATAATTGTATATATAGTTAGAACCATGGAAGTTTTTAGAATTGAGGTTAGGTTAGTTGACTAGGTAGGATCCACCATGGAACATTCTAAAAAGACTTTAGGATGGTTATTTAGGTAGGATCTACCATGGAACATTCTAATAAGTGTTTGAGGCAATTATCAAGGTAGGGCCTATCATGGAATCTTCTAGAAAAAGAATTTAATGCAATTATTTAGATAAGGTCCACCACTTAGGAACATTCTAGAAAGTCTAGGGTAGTAAGATAAGGTATGAATAGGGCTATTTAGGGCCTTTTGGGGCATCTTGTCAGATATGGCTTTGGACCCTTTCTCTTAGTAAAATTTGGTTTTGCATCATACTATTCAATTTGATTCTATTCTATTTTTGTTTGCTCAACTTTGTCTTTCATGTCCTGTTCTGTTTAGTTTTGTTTAATTTTGTTCTGGTCTATTTTGTTTTATTTTGTAATGAGGCTCTATATTGCTGTAGATTAGAAGGATCTTGGATTTTTGAGATAATCTAGTCTTGTTTCATCTCTGATGCCATTACCAAGAAACAATTGGAATACAATAATTATTGAAAATTAATTTATTTCTAAAGAAAGAATATAAAATATTTAAGAATTAGAAGAAAATTTGAAACAATATATTCTACAATTGAATCTTGAACAAAGAAAGACATATGATGATATTATAGCCTCTATAATGGATAAACATAGATGCATGTTTTTTCTAAACTGACTTGTAGGAACTAGTAAGACATTTGTCTATAATACTTTACCAATTAAAGTTTGATTGATGCAAAAGATTGTGATATGTGTTGTATCATTAGAAATTCTTGTATTATTACTTAAGGAAAGAAAGACCATCTATTCTACATTTAAGATTCTATTAGATTGTAATCAAGACTCTTTTTGTTCAATTACTAAGAATTTTGTCCATATTAAGTTTATTCACCAAAATTTGTTTATTATTTGGAATAAACTTTCAATGGAACATTATTATTGTCTTGAGGCAATTGATCATTTGTTTAGAGACATTTGGAATATTAATTGCCCATTTAATGGACCTACAATAGTCTTTAGTAGAGATTTTTGCCAAATATTGTCAATGATTGTCATAGAAACTTAAGATGAAATTGTAGCAATATCTTTTTGATATTTAGTACTTTGGCCTCAAATAAAAATCTATACATTAAAAAACATGAGGTTGAATTTAGGAGAACTTCAATCAGATATCAAGTTTACTAATTAGCTTTTGCAAGTACAGAATGCACATTGAAGTTGTACATAATGGTAGTGTATTTGAATTCATTATGGTTGCATTATTATTGACTAATATTTTTATTTGCTACTTGCCAAATTGGAAACAATACAAACTTATTGCCCAATTTTATTGTGTATTTTATTTCTTTCTTTTTTAAAAACAAATTTCAAATTTTTATTATTGACTAATATTTTTATTTGCTACTTGCCAAATTGGAAACAATACAAACTTATTGCCCAATTCTATTGTGTATTTTATTTCTTTCTTTTTTTAAAAAAAAATTCAAATTTTTTTATAAGACAGCTCATGGGAAACAAATACATGGAATAAACAAGCGGAGTTAAAAAACCATCTCCCATTGGGTGCATGCCTCATTGTTTACATCAAAAAGACTGAACCAAAACTGAGATTAAGTGAGATGTTAACTGCTACGTTAACTGAGGTTAACGTGAGATGAATGTGCTGTTTTCAATAGGGAAAGCATGCAAAGAAAATAGATAGGGAAGGCATGGGAAGAAAGCATGCGTGATCCCTATCTCTGACTGTGCCGATGATTACATAGAACGTGATGAGGCATAGTACGTGATGAGGCAAGCTGCTGGTGCGGAAACCAGTGCGCATATTTGTTTCTCTTCGCAGCTCATATTTGTGTTTTGTTTGCACCGTGTATTTTTCTTCGCAGCCCATATTTCCATTGCGCATATAGTGTTCAATCCCATATTTGTTTTTCTTTGCAGTTGGATGATTGCGGGTTCAGCACGGGCTCTTGCTTTCCAGCTGATCACATCAATGACCTGCACTGGTATTATTAGTTGAACTTAGTTGTAATCAAGGAGAATGAGCGTGTCTAGTGGGCTGAATCTAGAAGCTAATGATGGAGCTCGACGACGGCGAACTCAGTGGTTTGATGGCCGCAGGAAATGAAGGTGTGAAAGACAGCGGAGTCTAGGTCCACGTGCTTGGTGCAGAAACAGTACCGTGTGGAGGTCAATCTTTGGCCGCATCTGGAGTTGCAAGGTATTTGCTCACATCAACGAGATCTGCTTCCACTTGCTTCTTCCGGCAATTGTTTCCATGTTTATATTTTGGCAACTGGATAAAGTTTTATGGAAGAATTGACGTACGTTTTTCGGTTTTGTGGGGTTCAGAATTGCTTCCGAGATGTTGGCATTCTCTCTGTTACGATGCACACGGTTCGTCGCTGCTTGCGGCGGCTCCCCAGTCGCGGTGCTCACCGGAAGCGCCTCTTTGTGTCTGCTCATAACCATCGCCGCCACTGGGTGCCCCTCGATGCAACCCCCTCTTCGGTTGTCCCCGCCTTCATGACCATTATCTGCTCCGCCGTTGAACCGCTCACTAGGAACAGCCTCGGTATTCTTGCCTATCATTCGAGTCATCTGAAGAAGAAAAAAGAAAAAAGAAAAAAACATTTTACTAACTAACTGCTTCCCCGTGATCAAGTTGAAATGAACAGGCTTGCGAGTCACTGATTATGAGATTTTTACCTCAATCTCACGTTGATACCATTGTGGTCGCAATGAAGAGCGATTCTGTGGTTGCAGCCCCAAAGGCGAGCGTGGAAGTTTCGAAGGTTGAGGGCATGGAAGTCACAGAGGGCAAGGATGAGGTGGGGAGAAAGACCGTGAATGTGGTGGCTGTGGAGAAGGAAGTTGTGACTAAGACTAGCAATTTTTTGAGAATAAATAAATTTATGTATTCAATTTTGAAGGATATTAAAAAGGTCATTCATTCTATTTATATACATGTATATTCTTTTAAAATAATAAATTTTCATGTCATTTAATAAGTAATAAATATTTACATGTATTTACATTTTATGGTAATAACAAAATATATAATTGCAATACTATAACGGATCTCTACATTTTATTTATTTTTTGTTAAATATTTATTTAATATAATATCTAACTTTTATGTTTAGTTACATAAGTAGATTTATAGAGACATATTGTAATAAAAATAAATAAAACCCTATATTAGTAATAAGAGACTCATTTGTATTAATATAATACAATACCATCCCACAATGTGATTCGTTGTGAACGGCCACCCGTCCGTTTCTTTCGCTGCATCGTAAGTAGGGTGTTTCCTTGATTCAGCTCTTTCTGTTTATGAGGAACACTTGAAGAGCGGCGTTGTTCAGCTGAAGAGTCCATACTCTTTCCACAACTCTCATTTCCAGTGCATGATTCGGACACGTTTTCTGAAAAAGTTGGCTTGCAGGTGATCTCTGCAAGCTACGAGCGAGCAGCTTCCATCGCTGCCGGGATCACGAGATGCACGGAGTCTGCCACCATTTCTGCAATCTTGTCACCCCCAGGTCACACTTTCAGTCCCAACTTTGGTGTTTCACAAACCAGGAATTGTGTATCTGGCAATCCCCTTGTCTGCGCGGGTGTCTGTGATTTTCAAGGGTCTTGTTAAGATTCCAACAATGCTGTGTCTATTTCCCCTCGTTGGGAAGTTGGGGTGCGGGTTGAGCTGGTTGGAACATATCAGAGCCAATCTGCGACGGTGTTTCCATCTGCTGATGTGACCTAATTGCTGGAGAATGGCGGTGAGTCGCCGAATGTCAACGAGGTACCCAATCGCAAGGAAAGGAGTTCCAGCACAAAATTTATCCGTGAATGGTTGGTACATGCGACGTTGTCGAGGAACTAAAAAAAGCGATCACCAGAAGGAAAGAATGTTGGCCGCTCTATTGACCACCCTGAGCAGATCCAGTAACCTAGATTCAGCACCGCGTGCTGAGAGATTGGAGCTGAGGTCCGACAACAAACTTTCGCTCTCGACGGACAAAGCGTTCCGGTGTGGGCTCCTAGGAATTGGTCCTCACTGACCGACATAAGTTTGTTCGCTGGTCTGCCGGCAAATTTATTCTTTAAAATGTCTTTAACAACCTGGTCCTCCTCACTTGTGCGAGCTGGAAATATATCCACCTGGATATTAGAATCCCAATTTATTTTATGGATTCCCAATGGGCACCAGCCTTGAATGTTGTTCCTTTTGAACACCCTGACTTACTGAGTAGAAATTGGCTCCATTCTTGTTCAATCAAACTTGGTTTCCGCAACAGTAGTTTCTTGTGTAATTAGTCATATTTGATCTCAATACTACATGAATGCAATTGACATTCATTGCCTCTCCAACCCACTGCCATTGTCTTTAATATTAAATCTTATGTTATTTATACTGATCTTTGTTTTACCAAACTTTTTGCTTGTCTGCTACTTAGAGGCAGTGGGCAAGGTAGAACCAAGACTGATACTTTTTATCCATGTGCCAAGTTACCAAGGTACTAGCTAAGCACATTTCTTGCTAAAGCATTGTTACATGACTATCCACGTTCTTTTGTTATTCAAGTGAAACTACTAATTAAAAATATGCTGTGTAAACATACATATAAACCAAAATAAAGCTTAATTTGATTTTAGACCAACTCAACCATAAATGGTTGGAGAAAATATTTTATTGTAATTTTTTTGAGTAGATCAAGTAATTATGTAATTTTTTTGAGTAGATCAAGTAATTATGTAATTTTTTTGAGTAAATCAAGTAATTATGACAAGATATTTTTAAGAATAGGGCACCACCAAACTTCCAAAAAGGTGACGCACGATCTTAAAAAAATGGGCGTGTGAAACAATCTGACGAAAGTCACGACTGTCTGCGAAAGTTATTAAATTTCTCGTCGCTCAGTTGTTGTTCTGCTACGTTGACGTTGGAGAGGCCCGGATCCCGACTTAGCACTGGTGATCAAAGGGAGGATCAGATACCACGGATGATCGATTACTTTCAGAGACGAAGGATCGTGAGTTTCTGTTTGCAACGAACTGCAAGCGTGGTGAATGATTTGCAGTGTCCAGCAAGTTGGGTTGCGGGAGGGAGGGAGAGCGCGAGAGAGAGAGACAGAAAGATATAAAAGGAGAGTTCAGAGGTATGAGAGTTTCTGTGATGTGCCATGTTGTGCTCGCTATCGCTGCGAGTTCTGTGGGTGTAAGTGCCGTCGACAGATTTTGAGGGGATTGTAATGCAAGGAGAACGCTTGAAGCATCTTGTCGAAGCTCACTTGATAAACTAGAAAGTTCTCTCTCAACGGCTGATCGACTTTTAAATTATTAGGGTTGATCTCAAGATTCTATGTGCTGGATTGCAACTTGATGAACTGTCCGGTCTGATACAAAATGGCCTCGCTTGACCGCCTTCCTTTGCAAGTTCCGGCCTTGAACAGAAAACAATCGAACTAAGAGCTTTTTCATATGCTTTGCTCATTCACTGAGTCGGGAATTGATATGAATCGTGACACACCCAACATATAACTGAGGCGGCGTCTGTTGCATTATCTAATAGGCGGGTTCTACACTTGTTGATCTCCTGTTACAGTCCATTGACGGCAGGCCTCTACTCTCCCATGCCCGGCTTAATCTGCTCTGCTTAACTAGATCCTCGACTCCAGTTTTCCCATCTGTCGGGCAAGATTGCCTGCGAAGCATGTTCGGTAGTTCATTTGTAGGCACGCGGTTTGCGAGTGTGGGGTTAAAAATTGGTTGGTTGTCTTCCACCCTTCGTGCATTCATTTGTGCTTGAGAGGTGCAGTGCCGCCCGCATGCCGATACGAAGTCTGGATTATTTCGGTGACTCGTCTCTGTAACAGACGGTAGAATGTTTCTGACACGCAGTGTAGTCATATTGTCGCGTGTAGGGGTTTGGACCTATGATTCGAAAGCACATGTAGCTGGCAAGAACTAGTCATCTGAATCCTTCTTTGTCAGCCTAGGTTTTCATTTCGAGGACTGTTTCTCGTAAGAATCCTGTCAATGATGTACCAGTCAGTCCCTCTTCCTAATTTGGGAAGAAATTGTACCCACCACCTTACTTGGCAAAACCTAGTCATGACGATCCTGTGAACTTTTAGGGATTCTGAGGCTGATGCGGCTGGCAATTCTAGGCTTTTCAAGATCTTTAACAAACAAGAGGTTTTACTTTATTTTTATTTTGTTTATTTTTGTTGTTGTATTGAAACAGGGTCTGCCCGATGCTCAGAAAAGTAGTTTGGTTACAACAAACAAGGAGCATTCATACACACCTAATATTGTGATTGAGGACGGAACATGAAGCACAGAACCTACTAAGTTACGGCTCACAAACAGGAGATTTAAGGAACAGGATTCGGCCGGTGTGAGGCGCAGCATCGTTAGCATGATGGAATCGATATCATGTGTGAACATCTAGGTAGTTTAATTGGCCCACAAGGTCTGTACACTTTGATTGGGCGAAAATGTCTGTACAGCATTTATCGGACCGTGCAGACATGCAGACATGTGCAGACTTTCAGAAGTTTCCAGGATAATAATGGAGCACCATCCTCGATGTCAAGGACTACGTGTGGCTAGGAATGGCTTTGCATAGTGAACAGATCCCAGCAGATTCTTTTAAAAATATGTTTTCCTGAATCTGTGATCGATACATTAGTTTACATGTGAGACCACGACTCTGGTGCTCTAATGTCTGCAGAAGTTACCGGAAATGGCTCTGTACGCTATGTCCGCGCCGTAGTGGAGATATGGTCATTGTTGCTGTCAATTTAAACTTTCTACTTGTAATAGCTTCCTTAATAACATTTCGTAATTTCGAGAAGGTTTTCGTTGTTCATACGTAACAACCTTTCATTAACCAAGTCTTGAGGTGGGCGTCATATGAATGTCACTTATGTCTGCACTCTACCGCAGTTCTCTCCACCTTCTCTTCTGCCTCATGATTCGTAACGCGCTTAGGCTCGAGCGCACACTTTCGTGGTTGTAGGTAACTTGCTTGCCGGGTGCCCATTCTGATTGTAGGTCCCTAGTCTGTGAAGGCGTTTGCCGACTGTTACCACGTCGGCGACTGGTGTAGGAAATGTGAGTGCAGACATGGAGATAAGCGTAACCAGGGCATGCGTTGGTCTTGACCGTGTTCGGCCTTCACCCGACTTTTTTAAGTAGTAAAATATACTAAAGCATTCCTGGTGGGGTAATAATTTGTTCTCCTTTAGACCCTGCAGGAAAAATACTTGCGGAGTGATATCAAGGTTCTGTGTTGTGAACAGGCAGATTGTCGATTCATCCACATATGAGGGTGTAGGGGGCAGAATTGTGTGATGACAGGATGTGAATCCCTTATGACATATTCGTTGGCTGCAATAGCCTTCAATTTGTTGTATTAAATCATGGTGATGTGTAGTCCGTTTCCTGTCCCAAAGTGACTGTTTGGGAATTCAGTGTTTGGTTCCATCCAATGAATTTTTTTAATAGATTATTGGAGTCAACTTTTGGAGCCGACCTTGTCGAATGTTGAACATGTCAAGTATCAAGTAGGTTTTAATATGCTCTCTAGACAATTTTTAGAGCCAACCTTGTTAAAAGTTTGAACATTCAAGTATGATGTTGCTATTTTTAACGTTTTTTAAACTTAGCAATTTGAAACTAAATTCAAGATGCAATTATTTGCGGATTTCAAAATTGAAATGATTATATTAATTCACCTAATCACCTCTTTTTTATGTCAAAATTGGAAAAATACATCTATATTGATATCTTAGTTTTGTGCAGTTGTCTGAATTCTTCACCAAACTTTGTAGAATTTCTAAACCTGGAGGGAATTGAATGTAAGCATTTTTATAAATTCTACTAACAACTTTGATTTGGAACTGCTTTGAATGTCAGTGTGTTCAGAACTAATCGGTCCAAAGTTATCATCTTAACATCACATCCAGCCAAATGGGATAGATTAAGTTGAGGTGAATTTTCACTACCCGTGTACTTACTCTGAGGTTTTTGAATCTTCAGGAGAGTAAGGATGATAGTTTTATTACCTATTTCAACTACACTGATAGCAGTCAAATGGCTCTTTCATAGAAATTCATGTTCGCTCGGCGCATTTGGTTCCAAGAGTCCAAATGTGACGTGTAAGTCTCTATGTTACAACAGCTTTTGCATCTTCTGATTACTTCTTGTTTTCATCAAGGTTGCTTTTCAAATTCCGAGCAATGAAACTGAGTCACCTCGGGGGATGCTGTTGTGACACTAGCTAAAAGAATGGTATCTCAGGATTTAGAAAAACATATATTTGCTACTACTGAGAGACTTAAAGCCCTGTCCATCACAACAGAAGGAGCTAGCCCACCACAATTGGAAGCAGATCAGCCAGCAGATAGGTCGGTTCAACAGTTACATTGGAACTCCTTCCCAGCCGAAATCCAGACTTTGATCCTGGTCCGTTTGCCCCTGTTGGATCTGCTTATTGCTGGTCAGATAAGTCGATCTATCAAAGATACGACATCTCGTCCTAGCTTTCATCGTGAGCGCGGACTTCTTCGCCCAACGGAGTGCTCTCTCAGTCCCATAGTTTTCTACGTGGAGGGAACGTTGTGGAACTTGAGGGGATTCAATTCTCGAGAAGGGGCATGGATGAAACTGCCACCATTCAGCCACCCACTCATAGAAGCTTTAGACCCACAGTTGTTCAAGGACTGCCTTGTTGCAGGGGACGTCGGGTTCTTCTGCATGAACGTAGGGAAAGTATTGGGACCTGAGAAGATATGTGTCTACAATCCCTTGACGCGGGAAGCCCACAAGCTGCCTCCTCTAAATTTCCGACGTCATCCCGTTCTCCTGAATTTACATGTAACACTAGCTAAAAGAAATGGGTTACTGGTTTCAAGTTTTAGAGTTATAGCCGTGGGTAGTGCAGGGGCGAAGACCGAGACCGTCTCGAGGAAAACTGAGATCTACGACTCCGAGAGAGGTTGCGGTTGGGAAACGGCTGGAGACTCGCCTGGACCCGACTACTTCATTAACGAGTACCAGACAGGGTACTATGACAAGGATTTGAATTTGCTACTTTGCGTCGGGTTCATGGTCGATGGTAAGAAAGGCATTCTCGCGTTTAACGTAGGGACCCGCGAATGGGTAAGGAACTGGTATTGTCCTCTTTTGGAAATGCGACAAGGCGTCGATCCCGACCTATCAATTGATTACAGCATTGTTCAGCTTGTGCAATGTGATGGAATGGTCTTCCTTTTCTCCGAGCAAGTGATAGGGGTGGACACTTTCCATTGCATCGATAGGCTAGATTTGCGCAGCGGACCACGACATGAATGGCGAAGGATTCTGACGCGTTCAAGGCATGGGCAACGAGCGCTGTTAGTGTATCCAGAGTTCACTTGTGTCCCACTGGATGGTCGCAAGCTGTGCATCTTCAACACCGTTGAGCGCACTGGGGTGATCTACGAGATGCCGGAGGATTCTGTTGATGGCCCCATCCACTCTGATCACTTCGACGTCTTACCTGCTCCCGCAGAAATTAGCAACAAAGCGCGCTTTTATAGTCTCAATCCAATCAGCTATTCCTTCCAACCTAGCTTCGCCGTGTCAATGCCAGAGTTTTATGTCCCAGGAGACCTATGAGTAGCCCAGTTAGCTTTAAAGCATAAAAAAAAGAAAAAGAAAAAGAGATTATTATTATTATTATCATTACTACTACTACTACTAGTATTATTATCATAAAACATTAGAATATAACATATAAAAAGTAGAAGAAATTGTTGTGGGTGGCTAACATGGTTAGAAATTTGAGTGGATAGTAGTTTTTTGTAAGCTTAAACATATGTTTTTTAGGCCATAGAAGTGAGTCATAGTGAAGGCCTCTTAACCTTATTTGACAACAAATATTTGATGTTTTTTTGAAAAAAAGAGTTATGTTTTAGTCGAGATAATCTTAACAACTTAATATGGTATTATAAGAAATATTAACGACAGATCAATACAACTTCAACAAATGTATAATCAAATTATGTACTGTTATTATCAGTTATTATATAGTTATCAAAGAAGGTAAGTTTTTCAACCCAAAGTGGAGTTTTTAATTCAAAGAAAGTAAGTTCCTCAATCCCAAAAATACGGTACCAATTAAAAAATAAAAATAAAAATGCTTAGCCATAAAATTGACATGGTTTTTTTAATTCTTTTTTGTTCTAGTTCAATTCAATCTGTACTTTAATTCAAAAATCTACTAACATTATAAGGTTGAATATTTGAATTTTACAGAAAATGGAAGAATTATTTTGGAGTAACAAATTTAGATCGACATGGGAGAGAATCAAAGAAGGGTATGTGCAAGCAGCAATTATAACCCAACTTTCTTCAAATTTAATAATTTCTTTTCACTCAACCATGACAAATTTTTCTATTAGAACTATTTTCGTCTAAAATCCAACTAGTACAAACAATCAACTAAATTCGTATATATTTAGATTATTTTATTTAACCACAAAGAACTGCACTAAAATAAAATCAAAAGGATTAGTAATAGTGATGCTCTATAGAAACACAAATACTACATATCAAATGATAATCTAGATTTTTTTTAAATAATATATATATATATATATATATATATATATATATTTGATTAATAAACCATAAGGGTTGAGGTGAGTAACTTGTTACCTTTTGTTCTTTGCTAAGTACAACTTCACAATAATCTAAAAGCTAAATAAATCATATGGTATGGCTAATGCATTAAGTTGCATACTGCATGAAAAACTTGGTATAGAAAAATAAAATTCAATCACAGATTTTTTAATTTTGAAATTTTTATATATGTGAAATATAAATTGTAACTAGTCATCAAAATATACTTATACATAAGTAAGCTATTATCTTAAATGTTGAAGAACCAACAAAGAATATTTACACCAAAGCAATTTTTTTAAACTTAATAGTAGAAGATCTTAATCTTATGGAATCGACTTCATTCTACAACAAGACATATAGTTTTTAAAAATAAATTAATGCTTATATTCATTAATTTAAATGTCATGTTTCTTATCTTATTATAAATCTAAATATTATTTTAATTTCTCTTCTAATTATATATATATATATATATATATATATAGTATAATAACAGATGTTAATTTTTATAGAATCAATTAATTTTTTTATATACAATAATGTTATTGTGAAATTACTTAATAACCTCTTTAATACTCTATAATAATATCTAAAAAGTTTATTGGTGTTATGTCTTATATGTGTTGAGAATATTTAGAAAGACACAAGAATAATAGTAAGTCATACACATACACAAGAGTAGTAGTAAGTCATATACACAAGAGAGTTTCTAAGGAGAGAGAGCTTCATACACACCAAATCTATTCATCTGGTTGTGTCTCGTACACAAGAAGAGAAAAGAAGAGAGGATAAATAGTACTTCTCCATTAGACTCTAAATACTGTAGCTATGGTAATTACTGTAGTCTACAATAAATATTATGGAGAGCACCGGCTACATTTAATGATCTCAACACTCTTCCTCGCTCATCATAATATTTACATAATATAAAATTTACATAGAATTATGATCTATACTTTTCTGTGATCTTGCAAGATTAAGAATTGTTGCCTCATTAAAACCTTATCTAGGAAAATCATATTTCATTTAAGGACAAAACCATAGATGAAGAAAAAAGAGTACAACATCATTTTCTTTAATTATTTAAAGAGGTCATTAACTTTCTTATTCAAAAAAAGTAAGTTGTCGCATACCAATGCCATAAATAAGTCGATGATGGTTGCTTAATGGAAGAGCTTGGGTGAAGAGATCAACCAGGTTATTTGTAAATTGAATTTTCTTAATTATAAGTTCTTGATCAATAATCAAGTCATGAGTATAACTAAAATACTTTAGATCAGTATGCTTTGTTCTATCGCCTTTAATGAAACCAACTTGCATCTGTACAATACAAGCACTATTATCTTTATGCAAGATAGTTGGAGAATCATCATATGAAAATCCACACGTTGTTTGAATGAATTTATCAATTGATCACAATCAAATATATTCTCAAGATGCTTCATGTAAGGCAATAATTTTTGCATGGTTGGATGAAGTTGCAGTTATTGTTTGTTTCACAGATTTCCATGATATTGTAGCTCTATGTCTTAAAAAATACATATCCTATTTGAGATTTGGTTGTTGCAATATCAGATTTATATCCTGCATCACAATATTCAACCCATTTTGGATCTGCAGATTTTGTGTAGTATAATCCCAAGTCTTCAGTACCTTTTAAATAACATAATAAATGTTTAATGCCATTCCAATATTGTAGTATTGGATGTGTACTATATCTTGTAAGAACACTAACTGCAAATGTAATAATTGGACTTGTAGATGTAGCTAAATATAAAAGTGCTCCAACTGCTACAAGGTATGGATATTGATCCCTTAATATTTCTTCCTCTTCCTTACATAGATGATATGGATCATGACCATCACGACCACGTCCAACCATTGGTGTGGACAATGGATAAGCATCAATCATATTAAATCTTCGCAAGATTCATCTAATATACGTTAGTTGATAGAAAAAAATGCTACCATTTGTTAGATGCATAATTTGAAGGCCAATGCAAAAAGTTATTTTTCCTAGCATTTTCATTTCAAATTCACGTATAAGTAGGTTTGTAGTTGTAACACATGCAGATGTGATACCCACTAGGTTAAGATCATCAACATATACAACGATGATCACAAAACTAGTTTTATCTCGTTTGATAAACAAACAAGGAATTAATGGATCACTTATAAAATTATTTGTTATTAAATAATCTTGAAGACATTGATATCACATTCATCCGGATTATTTTAAACCATACAAGGCCTTACATAATTTAATACCATGATATTATCCTAGAGCAGGTCTATTTGGAGTTCCTTTTCTCAGCCAGGTGGAACTTTCAAATAAATATTTGCATCAAGAGAACCATATAGATATACAGTTACTACATCCATCACATGCATCTCAAGGGTGGCATGAACTGTCATTCCAATAATATATTGAAATATAATTGAATCCATGACTGAAGAATATAAAGATTCATAATCAATGCCAAATCGTTGAGTAAATCCTTGAGCAATAAGACGAGCTTTATAGTGAGTTATTTAGCCTTAAGCATCTCGCTTGTGTATTAATACTATTTTATATCTCACAAGGCGAGATATAAAGAGTCTACAATTAGACCAAAGACTTTCTTTTTATACAAAGAGGCATACTCTTCCTCAATAGCAATTTTTTATTTTGACCAATCTGAGCGACGCATCGTATCTTCGATGGTTTGAGGTTCAGGATCGTCTTCATCGTAAAAAAAGGCTTCTATAATCATATATACAAATGATTCATCTACCATAATAGATGGTCTGTCCCAAATATCATCTATAGTACTATATAGAATAGATAATTCTTTACTCAATTTGTTTTTATTCCTTCCAATTCCAAGATTGTTTTTCATAGGAATTGAAGGTACATTATGCATGGATATATCATCATGAATTAGTAGTCGTGTAAGATGAGTGGCAATTTCTTGAGAAATAATACCAAGATTAGTTAATTTTATAGCTTTCTTCTCACGTGGTTGCTTATCTGGTCCACGAGTTCTTCTAGTTGTTGTTGTTATAACTTGAGGTATTGTAATCAATGCCACTACAATCTGAGGAGGTGCATTCTGAGCCTCATTAATAGGAACTCTTGTAATTCTAGGTGCATCATTGAAGCCATCAGGTGTTTCATCTGCGATCCATTTTAAATGTAAAATCTTAGCAATTTCAGTTTCTACCAAAGATGTCCTATGATCAGGATTCATTGTAAATATTTCTGGTGCTTCAAATATGAGTACTTTATTTCTTTGTTGATTGGATATTCTTCCTTGAAGAGATGGAAATACAATTTCTTCAAAACGGTAATTTTACAAACGTGTACGTAATAATGTGCCAGTTGATGGATCAACAATACGAATAATGCTTGGTGAATCAAAACCAACATATATGCCTTCTTGTCAATGAGCTCCAATGGTACGCCGTTGAGGTTCTGGTATTAGAATCCAAGAACAACAACCAAATACTTGTAAGTGAGATACATTTAGAACACGACCCGAAATGTGTTCATGTGGTGAAACAATTTCAAGAGAAGGATGGAGGCATATTAATGCTGTAGCATGTAAAATTGCATGACCCCACATAGATGTAGGTAGATTTGCATGAAGGAGGAGTGGCCGGGTAATGAGTTGTATATACTTTACAAATATCTCTGCAAGTCCATTTTGAGCATGTTCATATGGAACACAATATATCAACTCAATTCTTGTTGCAATACAATAGTCTTCAAAAGACTTTGATGCAAATTCTTTTGCATTATTCATACGCAATGTTTTTATAGGATAATCAAGAAAATGTACCCAAAAGCGAATAAGCATAGATATAAGATTGGCAAACACCATATTTCGAGTTGATAATAATGAAACATGTGATTGTTTACTTGATGCATCAACAAGGACCAAAAAATAACAAAATAGTCCTGATATTGGATTAATAGGACGACAAATATTACCATGCAATCTTTCAAGCATTGGTGGTAATTCTTGTGGAAGTTTTCAAATTGACGGCAGAGTAATCATTTTACCTTACATGCATGAACTACATAATTCTATAGAGTCTACATCTGCAGGCTTTAAATTGTGTCCAGTTATACATGGAATGATCTTTCTAAATAATGTGGATCCTAGATGTCCCAATTGTCCATGCCAAAGAGAAATATGACTCTCTGAGATAGATGATGCAAAATTAAATATAATGGGAGGCCAAATCACAATTTGGTATAAACCATTTTCTGTAGCAAAAGCTTTTTTAACAACTTTATGATTCTTCATAAGAACCAAAACCTCTTTTTTATTTAAAGTAGCAGTCAAGAGGTGATAACCATTAATATGCACATCTCGGTAGATGATGAGACTCCGAAGTGCTGAGGATGTAAACATTACATGTTTACATTTTATGATGGAATTCGCATGTAATTTTACCATCGCTATGCCCTCTTGGAAACAAAACGCATTTGCTCCATCCATGGTCATCATATTTTTAGTTTGCCAAGTTGAAGATTTTTCAATATAAAATCATCTATCTCGCAAGATAGTATGTGTTATTGGAGAATCAATGAGCACATCATTTGATTCATCATTAGAGGTTCTATCATTCATATAAGCCTATAAGTCATTAACACCAATTGAATCCATGGACGCATCCATGGTATGAACTTCACAAGCCTCAACTTGTAGTTTCTTATTTTCTTGGAACATTTTAATAAAATATTTTGAAGTAGGACACGCATGTGTTAAATGTCCAATCATTCTGTACTTATGGCAAGAACGCATCTCTGATTTTTGTTTTCTACTATAATTAATAATATAATGTTTATTCTTTCCATATGGGTAGAAATAGTCTTCACTATGACTACCTTGATACTTATGAGCATGTTTTCCATATTTATATAATTTCTTCTCAAACTTTGAAATATTAAGTGCATGAGATTCTGGAAATGTAGTTCCATTAGGACGAGCTTCCGCATTGCACAAGAGTAGCTCATTTTGCTTCTCCGCAAGAAGTAGATAGGACATGAGATCAAAATGACTCTGAAATTTCATATTCTTGTATTATTGTGCAAGCACAGCAGGAAATGTAGAGAGAGTTTTCTCAATCATATCTTCTTCAGAAATACTTTGTCCACATAATCGTAATTGTGAGACAATACTATACATTTTACTATTGAAAGGATTTAAATTTGGAAAATCCAAGATACATAAATGAATCCAATTATGACGTGCACGTGGAAGAGAAATGGTCTTTTGATGATCAAACTTGGATTTAAGTTTCTTCTAAAGTTCTGTAGGATCTTCCATTTTTAAATATTGATATTGTAATGCAGGTACAAGATGACGACGAAGGAGAAGAAGTGCTTTCCAATGAATAGCAGGAGATATAGAAATACTTGTTGTAGGAGATTCTTCAAACATAATGGCATCCGAGAGTTGTTCTGCAAATAAATTTGCTTTTGCCATTTTTGTCCATAATAGATAATTATTTCTATCCACAGTCAAGGTACGTTTTATTCAACTTTTCTACTTGATCTTATATTTTAGTCTATAATAGATAATAGTTTCTAAGGAAAAATATATATATATATATATATATATATACATATGTCTTATTTAAAATTTGAAAATAATGCTTATTCAAAAGTTCTTTGTAATATAATCATTATTCAAAATAAAATATCAAATTATAAGTTTATTTTTATATGTAATAAAATACTTCCTTAATTTCTATTTTTTCTTCTTTATGTATATTAAATACATATATAGTAAAATTTATCTTTTACAAATCAAAGTTTGTAATACTACATCTATAGTAAAATTTATCTTATACAAATCAAAATTTACAATATTCTATAAACATATATATATATATATATATATATATATATATATTACTAATATTAAATTATAAAAAAATACATATTTATGATATAATATTTTTTTATAAATACTAGAAAAACCCATTTAGCAAGCTAAATAATCGCATAATAGTTGCAATAACCCTAAATCACTTGTATTTGTATATAATAGAGATGTTTTTTTGATTGAAATTTATAATAAAATAGTTACCAGAAAAGACAAGGAACAAGAATTCATAACTTAGAATTCATTTTTCATTGGATCCGCAGTGATCTATATTCTATTCCCTCATTGGACTTGCACAAATCCCTATTCACATGGATGCTGAAGTTTGTTTAGAGGCTGCCTCTCAATCCCAATTTTCAACCATCAGGCTTGCTTCAAAGAATACTTATTTTGTTCAATTGTTCAAAAGAAAAAAAAAATCTTTTGAACAATTATTTCTTAAGATAATATTTAGGTTAATTTTGCTCTAAATTATTTTGTACAGGAGAGGGTTGCTGGGACCCGTGACCCGTGACGCAGTGCGATGCGGGAGCCAGGCGAGCTCCCCCCGCGCTCCCCCGCGTTCTCAGCAATCGTGGTAACGGCCATAATTAAATTTTATCTGACGGCTGAGATGCCTCGAGTGTCATTGGATCTCTAACGGCTAATATATTTTGCATGAAGTCCCCTATGTGTCCGATTGTTCTCTCTCAAGCACTGCTGCCTTCGTTCTTGAAAGAGTGCTCTGTGTTTTGGTTTCCTTCAGGCTTGTATAATATGTGGCAGGTCAAGGAAGTTTTTCGTAACTCTGGACGTCGATATACATCCCCTGTCAATATCAGTGAGTTGTCGATAACTGTGACTTGTGTGTGCCTGACGAAATTGGTCACGTGGGATATCCCGATGTCAATGTGACTGAGCTTGCGGAGCGAATGGATCGCTTCTCAGACCCTCGTGAAGATGGAGGCTCAACGGGGGTGCCCATCTCCAACGTTGTGGATCAACAGGAATACACTTCAATGAGAGGTAAAAGTCCTCAAGAATGCTTGAGCCTATTGAATGTCATGCCACTGGAAGTTATGGATTATATTTTAGCCTTTGCTCCTTCTTCAATTCTCTTCCAGGTGCGTGGAGTGTGCAAAGTTTTTTCGACTTTCATTAGTAGGAGAACTTTCCTCCAAGCACGTGCTGAGCTCCGTCCCTTTGAATGTCCTCTTAGCCCTCTCTCTTTTATTGTTGAGAAAGGCAAATGGCAAGTAGTGGGTCTCAACTACCAAGCACACTTGATGGAAGATCAGAAAGTATGGGAAAAACTTCCACCATTCACATTTGCATCGCCCGATCCAGACCTCTTTAAGGGTTTCCTGGTCGCCGGACATGGCGGTCTCATTTGTGCGGAGGTAGGGAATTCCGATGGGCCTGACAAGCTCGTATTATATAATCCTTTGACAATGAAAACACTTTTACTGCCTTCTTTGATTGCTCCACGACACCCTGTTGCCCTGTCGTTGCATGTGACCCGAAGTACGAAACGGGACACGTACATCCCAAGCTTTCGGGTTATCGCTGTGGGTAGTGCGGCGAATGGAACTGAGAGACTCTCAAGGAAAACCGAAGTGTATGACTCTGCTGAAGGTAAGTGGAAAGTCGCCGGAGATGTTCCTGGAGCCGACTTCTCCATAAATGAATATCAGACCGGAGTCTTCTGTGAGAGCCTGAATCTGCTGTTGTGTGTTGGTTTCATGATCGACGGTAGAAAAGGCATTCTTGCCTTCGATGTGGTACAGTGCAGATGGCGCGAAAATTGGGTTTGTCCGTTGCATGAGCTGCCTGCAGACAATGAAGCACCCACGTTCGTCCATTTCTCCATTGCAGTGCTTGTGGAGTGCAGTGGCGTGATCTACCTGTTTTCAGAACATGAGAGAAATAAAAAAGTTTCCCATTGCATCGACAGACTGGATTTGGACAGTGCAGGAGGATACACATGGACGAGGAAAGTGACACGCGAGAGACAGAGAAATCAAGCTCTGCTCGTGTATCCAGAATTTACGTGTGTCCCTCTGAAGGACCACAAGCTGTGCATTTTCAACACGATTGAGCGATCGGGGGTTGTGTATGACATGCAAGATGATCCCATTGACCCTAGTAAGTACGAGGCGTTGCCAGCACCTCCTGCATTAGGTAATAAAACTCTGTTTCACAGTCTCAACCCTATTACTTATGCATTTGAACCGAGCTTCGTAGTCGATTTACCTGAAAACTAACCCTCCGTGATTTTGAATTCAAATCGATTTGCATCTTTTTTTTAAGTAATTTACTTGACTAGTTAACCCAGAAAAATTTAAATGAACCCAATAAAACCCACAAAACCAAATCTTAATTGAATAAGACACAGGTTTGCGAGGAGCTGCAAAGTTTAGGGTTCTAACGGAGCTCTGACCGATTTCTAATGGCTGACGTATATCACACGACGTCTTCTAACGGATCTCTGACGGCTAATGTATTTCACATGAAGTCTTCTGTGTGCGTGCCACTTTAAGTACATTGCTGTGGTTGTCGAATGGAGAGTTTTGAAGCAGATGTCTCGCCCACCCATGGTTGATGGTAAGTCTCGCATGTTTCTACACTAACAGGCACTGCCGCGTTAATTTGTGTCAGCGTGATTTGTGTTGTGATTTCCTTCAGGCTAATGTAATGTGTCGCAAGTCTAGGAGGTTTTCGTAACTCCGGACGTCGACATACATCCCCTGTGAACATTAGTTAGTTGTCGATAACTGTGACTCGGGTGTGCCGGACGAAATTGGTCACGTGGGACATCCTGATGACAATGTGACCGAGCTTGCGGAGCGAATGGATCGCGTCTCAGTCCCTCGTGCAGATGGGGGGCAACGGAGGTACACATCTCCAACGTCGGGTATCAACAGGAATACACCTCAATTAGAGGTGCAAGTCCTCATTAAGGCTTGAACTTATTGAATGACATGCCACCGGAAGTTCTGGATTATATTTTAGAGTTTTCTCTTTTTCAATACTCTTCCAGGTGCATGGAGTGTGCCAAGTTTTTCCGACTTTCATTAGTCGGAGAACTTTCCTCCAAGCACGTGCTGAGCTCCGTCCCTTTGAATGTCCTCTTAGCCCTCTCTCTTTTATTGTTGAGAAAGGCAATTGGCAAGCAGTGGGGCTCGACAACCAAGCACATTTGATGGAAGACCAGAAGTATGGGAAAAACTTCCACCATTCACATTTGCATCGCTCGATCCAGATCTCTTGAAGGGCCTCCTGGTCGACGGACATGGCAGTTTCATTTGCGAGGAAGTAGGAAATGCTGACGAACCAGAGGACCTCTTACAAATCCCACACAAAGTCCCCCATTGCATCGACAGACTGGATTGGGACAGTGCAGGAGCATACACATGGCGGAGGAATTTGACACGCCAGAGATAGAGAGATCAAGCTCTGTTCGTGTATTCTGAAGTAACATGTGTCCCTCTGAAGGACCAGTTGTGCATCTTTAACACGGTTGACCGACCAGCGGTTGTGAATTACATGCTGGATGATCCCATCTACCGTAATAGGTATGAGATGTTGCGGGCACCTCCTGCGTAAGGGAATAGAACTCTGTTACGCAGCCTCAACCCTATTACGTATGCTCTCGAACTGAGCGTCGTAGTTGTTTTACCTGAGGAGCAGCTCTCGGTGATTTTGAATTAAAAGCAATTTATAATTTTTTCCAGAAGGATCCGTCAGACAAGTTACACTGCGAAGTTGTGCCCTGGGAGAACCTTTTTTGCAGTATTGAAACTCTCGATCGTTTCTTGAACCACAAGGTACTGCTCCAGGTGGGAGACATCTGCAAAGTAGGTTGCATTTCCACTTACCTCTTCGTGCATATGCTTCTCTGAACCCTATACTACCCGAAACTAAACGCCAAATCAATACCAGAAGCCCGACATTACAAAGACGTAACAATGTAATGCAGACTGTCATTAACAACTGTTCCACAAACAATTCGCATGTTGATTGTTCCATTCGTCACCTTAGTTCTCAAAAAGATCTAATCAGTACCAATAGCACAATGCCACAAAAGCTACAATAATCTAGTTTCCATACACATCTTTGTTTTCAATGGCATAATTTTCCATCAAAGCCTGTAAGTGCTGGGTAGGACTTCATGCCATTTATGTACAATCAGATTAGGAATCTTGTATTTTGTATGTAGCATCTTCCTTCTAAGTTTTGTCATATATGCCATAAATGGTATGAAATCTTTTAATAATGGCTATTGAAATTTGTAAGGATCCTTAATCTAATCGGCAACTTTATCATAAAAGAAATAAATGAGATGTTTTATTCTTTTTGCAGTCAGGACAACATGCACTCTATTGTGGATCCTTGCAAAACTACTAAAGGCTCATGTTGTAACAACAAGAGATTGAGAGAATTATGTAGCTTAAAGCAGCTTGAAGAAAAGATATTGATTGTGGAGCTACCAAGCAAATTACTTGAGCACTTATTGTTACTTGCCAAACTAAAACTAAGACAGTATCTCTTGAGATATGGGAGCACCAAATCCACTCACCACTGATAGCTGGAATAGAGACATTTAATAGCCAAGTATCTCAATATGCTATAAGTTCCTTAACATCAAATTGACAAGCTCTATATTCTACTAAATTAAGGCTTCTTACGCTGAGATGAACCTAGTACTAGTCTTAGCATCTCTAATACTTCTCAAGCTTCCTTTATGGAGTTGAGAAGCTCAATTTTGGAAAACTTGGGACTTATCAGCAAAAAAAAAAAAGACTATTAAGGTGATTTTTTCCTCATTATGTTAAGCATCATTAGTTGAACATGTGGCAAATCCTTTACCAAAGCTCACAAAAATGAGCCAATTCTTATTCAAGCTTATGATTATTTTTTAATTTAGAAGGAGAATAAATTCCAAATTAAGAAATTATCTATCTTGTATATATGGCTGAAAGTAACTCAATCTGAATCTGAATAAGGTTTAGAGATTAAAAGTACCAAACTCACAAGCTTTTAGAATCCATTTGACTATGAAAGAGACTAAAGCATCAGTGGGATTTATCATATTAATGCCTATTTTATCTCTAGGTTGACAACATTATTACTATGAAACCTTGGTTTGAACTCGTTGGAGAGTTCTAAACCACATATAATTTTGAATTTGGAATCAAATTTTAGAAATACCAACCTATGTACTACTCCATATAGTAGCAAAGAAAAATGTAGGTAATAATAATATCTTATTGGCAATTATTCTATGCCTTGTGTAATTCACCTTTTTGATGTTTCAATACTTTGACTTCTTTTTTGGTCTTAGTTTTTAAAAAGTCATCAACATCTGAAGAAGATAATTACAACCAAAAGGGAGTTTTTAGCAATTTATTCATATCACCATCATTAATATATGTAACTTTCAAAGTATTTGTCTAAGTTGGTTGCATATGTTTTGCTTGCCAATTGCCATATAATTTAATCAAATTCAAAATTAAACCAAAGTTACAACAAAAGATATTTAGAAGTTGCAATAATTTCTTTACAAAGGCATTTTCACCTTAAATAATAAATGAAGTGTCATCTATGTATTGGCAATGACTTATTGTCTATCATTGATTGGTAGTGATATGTCTTTGGCCACTCCCATATTAATTCTTTTTTTCACCATATAATCAAAAATCTTAGCAATAATCAAAAAGAAGTATGGAGCAAGAGAACAACCTTGACATACTCCTCTACTTATAATAAAGGATAGAAATTATGTTCCATTCACCTTTATATTTGCTAAAATATCAATGAAGCTCAAGATTCTCATAACTACAAACTAGTGTGCAAATCCAAAACTTTCCATGGCTTGAAAAAAAAAATTGATCAATCCACCATATTATACATCTTTGAAAAATCTAACTTTGAAAAAATAAGTAGTTGTTTAGAATTTTCCGTCAAGTCTATGGTCTCATGTATAAGGAAAATATTGTCTAAAATAAATTGCATGGATAAGAAGACAAATTGATCAAAGAAGATGATTTCTACAAGAACTAAATAGAGACAAATTTGAAATACCTTGGTATATAATTTATAAGTAATATTTAAAAGTGTCATAGGGAATTAATTTATGAGTTAAGATTACATTCTACTTTTGAATTGTAAAGCAATGAGGCCTGAGATGACTCTCAAGAAAAAATTGTAAGATCTTTTAACTTTTGTTACTAAGATAAGATAATCTGATTTGATGATACTTCATAAGTATTTATAGAATTTAGTGATTAGTTTTTTTGGCCTTAAAGCCTTTTTATATGTCATTTTTTAAAAGAGAAAATTAAATTTAAGCATAGAAATTGGAGCTTAGAGTGTCAACTTCATACTTTTTGTTAATCTATCACTCATGCAATATATAATCTGTTTTGTAGCCTATACTGATTCAAGAGATATTGCAGCCTTAATATATGAATTTGTATAGTATTGCAAGTATAGAGCCTCTATTGTATATTGGTTTGTGATTGTGAGTCTAACTTCATTTTTTAGGACAATAATGGTAACACTTTCTAATCTTTCTTTATTTACTTAAAAAAACTCTTTTGACTTTATATTGCCAACTTTTTTTCATTTCATACAACTGGGCATCCAAAAGTCCTTTATATAACATGGCATGGATAGGATATTCATATTATTTGCAGATATAGATATGTAGTTGGAGTCATTTTTGGAAAGTTTCTAGAATTGAAGTTAGGATGGTGGTTCATGTGGAATCCACTATATAACCTTCTAGAAAGACTTAAGACAATTATCATGGTAGGACCTACCTCTAAAATCTTTTAGAAGAATAGTTATTTTAGTAGAATCTATCATTAAGAATATTTTAGAAAGTTCCAAGATAGTTGAACAAAATATAAATATGACTAGCTAAGACCATTTGGACATTCGATCAGGTATAGCTTCAGATTCTTTCTCTCAATAAAGTTTGGTTGCATTTTTTTATTTAGTTATATTTGGTTTTATTTGATTCTATTCTCTTTTAGTCAATTCTAACTTTTATGTTCCATTTTATTTTATTACTTTCAATTTTGTTCTAATATGCTTCATCTTATATTGTATTGAAATCTGTGTTGTTATGGAATTGATAAGGTTTAAGACCTTAAAGAATTTAATCTTATTTCATTAGTATCAGAGTAAGTGTTAGTCTATTATTTGGTAGTGTGTTGATAGCCACCATTTATTTGGAAGTTAATTATTGTGATTACATTGGATACTATTTTAGGGCTACAACAAGCTACTTTAAGAAGTCAGCTAAAAGAGAAGAAGGCATTATAAAAACAAAGTTCAACAAGAAAATTATAGCATGGTAGATATGGCAGAGCAACCTCAGATTGAGACCCAAATATAATACCTACTAGGCTAGATAGCCACTTTGTAAGAAAAATTAAAAGCTTCTAAGACAAGAGACTTAACATGTGCTAGGCTAAAATTGACTAAGCTCTATATATATTTATAGACCTGAAGGCAAAAAGATGTATGCTAATGGTTCTTCAACATGCAATAGTACTTCCAATTATTTAAGGCAAATATCAACAATAAAATTATACATGCCTCTAGTTATTTGAAAGGTGTAACAGCCATTTAGTGGCAACATCAAATTCAAAGCTATGGAGTTCAAGGTAGATTTTGTAATTGGGAGGAATGTGAGACGAAGCTTAAGAGTCAATTTTGGCCCATCAATGTACGAAAGTTAGTACCCAATCAGTTGGCTAACCTTACACAATCCAGATTGATGCAAAATTATGTCTCTCAATTCAAGTTCCTATGTCTCCAAATTGACAATATTTCAAAGGCAGAGATGATGGATCAATTTATATGAAGGTTGAAACTTGTGATCTAATAAGAAATGGAATTAAAGGATCCACAAATATTTGATGAGGCAATTAGGATTGTAGAGACGGTTGATGGAATAGATTTCAAAAATCAAGAGGTATGACCTATAGCGTGGAGTCCTGTGCCATTAGCCAATATTATGGTACAAAAACCTATGTTGATGGAGATTGATGTATTGCAAGGACGACTAACACTACAAATATGACAAATATTGGTATAGAAGGGATTGTGCTTTTAGTCGTGGAAGCTATGCCATTAGATTAGAGACTATCCAAAATATCAAAGTTCAAGCACCAACAAATTATGGGAAGTTCATAATCTTAAGAGTCATGAGGTTGAAGAAGAAGCAGAGCAAAAAAACAAGGATCTCCAATAAAGGCATTAAGGGCCAATATTGAGAATAGTTGTTATTTCTCAAGGACAAAGAACATGGCCTTGTACAACTATCTGAAGTGTCAATTAGTATATTTAACATGTCGACTAAGAAAATAGCTATCTCAAGTGCTTGTGGATTGCGACTCTATAAAAAATTACATTTCAACAATAATTACCAACCGACTTAGAATTAAAACAAAGATGATCAAAGAAGAGAGTATATACCTAGCAGATGATCAAAAAAACATATTGAATGCCACAAGTGGAATAAAAATCTTAAAGTTAAGTGATACGTATGCCTTGAGGGAGAAGTTTAGAGTAACAAAGCTTAGGTATGATATTATCTTTGATATGCCATGGCTAGAAGAAAGAAATAAATAAATTGATTACTTAGCAAGGATAATCTCTTTTTAAGATGGAAGACACATGGTGACTTTTTGTGCCTCTATATTGAATGGAATAGCAAAATGATCTACGACTAAGGACTTACTTGTAGAAATGATCTTTATAAAGAAGCAAATATGGCATTAACAATTGGTATATGTAGTCATTCTG